TCAGAAACAGAGAAGGCATTGATGCTGTGCAAGTGCTGTTTAGCAATAAGCTAAAATGTTGATGTATTATTAACACTGTTTTGTTCACCTGGCTAAACCACAGCACTAGGTGGGCTGCAATGAAGAAAATTAACTCCATCCTTGAGGGTGCCCAATGGTTATAATGCCTGGTTCTGGTGGGCATTTTCTGCTTCTGATGGAGGCTTTACCTCCAGCTTATAGATGAATTCTAGGGACAGTTTAACCATATGGTTGCCAATGAGCAATCCCAGAGTGCTTGGAAAAGAAAAGCTCAGCACTGAAAGTCCCTAGAGCTGCTGTGAACTCTCTCTCTGGTATGACTGGTAGAAAAACAACAGGTGAATCATTGCTTTCCCTCAAGTGAACTTCACGTGGTTTTGCTGTCCCCCCCTGCTATTTAAAACCCTGACAGTTGTGTGATAACTGTAGGCCAGACTCAGCCTCTCAGAGTGAGGACACTCTGATGGACACTCTGATGTCCACAGGGTTTGGGGTATTTATTGTTCTGACAAGTGCTTTGACACAGTGCATGCATTGAAACAAAGAGGTAGAAATGAGGCAAAATCAGAAAGATAAACGGAGAGAACTTTTGTGATGTAAAGTAGTGTGAGATGAGTGTAAAAGGACTGCTTATAGTAGAAAATCATATTGCAAAATACAGATAATTTTCTGCTTCTGATGGAGGTTTTACGTCCCATGGGAGCTGCTTCACTTGTTCACTTGCAGCTTTTCTTTCTTTCACACTTGACTCCTCCTGAAATATATTTGATCCACTTCCCTGATTTCTAGAACCTCGCCACTTACTGTGAAAGAATTGCATTACAATGATATTGGCAAGTCTGGCTAAAAAAAACTAATACTGAAGTAAGCCACAGGTTAAGTCCTTCTTGCCAGCTACCTGTTCTCCACCTTGCCTGGGCCAGGGCTCTGCCCACATACCCTTGTGGCTGTCTGCCATTCCATTGTTCAGAGTCACTCACAAATCTCACCCAGTAGCATCAAGGTGTCAGCAGTTACTTTGACCCTTTATGTTTTGGTTTCCACGTGTAGAAACTGAACAAGTCTCGGTAAAGTATGATGACGCTGTGTAACCTACAGAGAAAAGGAAAGGAAAGCAAAGGTGATGTGAGACATAAAGATGCCATAGGTGGGTGTGTCTACTGCTGTCATGGGCTACTGAGTTTACAACTCAGAGTTGTAAACTGATATACTGCTGAGGACGTGAATTGGTGTATCTAAAAGCTTGGTTTTATATGCATTATTGCATTATTATGCATACATAGATTTGTAAATATCTGTGTGGGTATTCATACATATGTATTCACACACACACAAAGACATGTTTTAGCCCTTTTTTAAATTTGAAGTTCACAGAGTAGATCTCAAAAGGCTCCCTGGGATTCTTCTTTCTGTAAAAATAGAGATATCTACTGAGAATTCTCCATTAAAAATACAGCTATCAACTAAGACATCTCCATTAAATCCAAACAAACATACAGTGGATTTTCCTTTTACTGTCAAATGTGCCAGCAGCAGAACACTTGAACTAACTCCAAATTCGCCACTACAAATTAAGTCCAGGAGGCGGCTTGTAAGTGGAGATTGAGAGCTAAGCCTCTGTGGTATGAGCCCCAAGGTTTTAGTCATGTTTAAGTTTTGCCTTCGTCCTTGCTTCCAGACTTCCACTGTGTGATTCTCACCACTTTCCAGTAGATCATTCGGCAAGAGAATAGAAAGCTCAGTACTTGTAAAATCCTTAGAGATCTGAAAATTGGGACCTTGGCTGATTCAAGCCCTTTTTGTCTTCTTTGATGTGTGATCTAACTTCTCTCCTCTGATCCTCTTTCACCTCTCTAACCTGCCTGTTTTTCCCAATTTCTTCTGTATGTTTCCATTTCTATGACTTCTACCTCACTCCAGATTTGTGTTCTATGCTGAATAAAATCCTTCAGTGTGATGCTGAAGTTGGTGTTACCAGTGTTTAAAGTATGGCTCTACTACCACCAAAAAATGGATTATTGTAAAGGTCTAAGGAACCAGGTGAGTAAAGGAGTTATGAGTGAGTGTATGTCCAACGTTCTATGTGTCCTTTGCTGTATATATTCCTCCAAAATGCATTTATGTTCAAGGAGGTATGCATCTGAGGGTGGTGGTTATTTCTAAAATAATCCATTTTCCGGAGTGGGTGAGATATATTCAGATGTTACCAACAGCTCAGCATTGCTATAACCTTCACATCGATCTCTATCTTAGGCAGCTTCAGTGAGGGGAGATGACTGATGGCATAAGAAGTATAAAAAATACTTTGGTCACCCCTGTTTGAGTAGTATGAGGGTCTACCCATACACACAACCCTTGCTAAAGACATGTAGAAACTTAAGGACATACTGGATTACTGCTTTTTGCTCATAAAGGCCAAGACAGAGTTTTCTCACCCAGGTACTTGGTTGGTTTCATCTTCTGGAGGTTTCATCACCCTCTGAAGCCCTTAAGTTTGGTCCCCATAAACAAGATGTGTGAATTCGTCTGGAAACGTTAAAATTCACATTTGTGGTAGCCTTGTCTTTCTGATTTTGTTAAACCAACTGACACGTTTGGAAGAGATTCCTTTCCTCACAGGCTGGCAGGAATGTCAGAATGATATTTCTCTTTTTCTTTAACTTTCCTCTTGTTTTCTACCATCTCACAAAGCATCTGGACATACGTGGAAATGTGGTGCTGCAAATTTCATGCTTCTGCTCAGAACAATTTTTCTCTCTCTGCTTTCTATGTCACATTGCTGGTTTTATACCAGGAACTCCTGCTACTAAGCACTGTTAGGCTAGTCAAGCTGTTTCTTGTAAATTAGACTAAACATCTAAAAGCCTAATTCACAACTACATATTTGCAAATATCTGCTGCAGAGAGAAGGAAATTAAGAGAATTCTACAGTCTCATAGAATCCTAGAACAGTTTGGGTTGGAAAGGACCTTAAGATCATCTAGTTCCAACACCCGTGCCTCACACTAGACCGTGTCACCCAAAGCTCTGTCCAGTCTGGCCTTGAACACCGCCAGGGATGGAGCATTCACAACTTCGTTCGACAACCCATTCCAGTGCCTCACCACCCTAACAGTAAAGAACTTCTTCCTTATATCCAATCTAAACTTCCCCTGTTTAAGTTTTAACCTGTTACTCCTTGTCCTGTCACTACAGTCCCTAATGAAGAGTCCATCCTCAGCACCCTTGTAGGCCCCCTTCAGATACTGGAAGGCTGCTATGAGGTCTCCACGCAGCCTTCTCTTCTCCAGGCTGAACAGCCCCAACTTTCTCAGCCTATCTTCATGCGCGAGCTGCTCCAGTCCCCTGATCATCCTCGTGGCCCTTCTCTGGACTTGTTCCAGCAGTTCCATGTCCTTCTTATATTGAGCACACCAGGACTGCACACAGTGCTCTAAGTGGGGTCTCATGAAAGCAGAGTAGAGGGGCAGGATCACCCCCTTTGACCTGCATTTTTAGCTTTACTAAGTATCATGTCTGTGAACTCGATACGCATTAGTCAAACTCTTATTTTATTTGTTTAAAAGATCTCTAAGTGTCTGAATCGATCCCATTCACTCTTCCTAAGGTAACAACTAATGCAGCCACTAGGAACGAACAATTCTATGATATGATGTGATTGGTGACCTTGCAGCTGAAGAGGCCCTGAAGGCAAATGCTTCTCTGCCCTGTGACCTGCTATGACTAGACTTCTCCACAGATTGTCTGTCCAGTGCCTGAAACCCTCCTCCCTTTGTACTCCAGCATTCATTTTCACTTCTCTTTGTTCCGCCCTTGCAGGAAACTGAGTATTTTTGACAATAGAATGTTGAGGGCTTGCCTCTGAGAATGCAAATAAATCACACCCTTAGCTTTACAATCCCAAACCAGACTCGGCATTGAGGAAGGCAATGGCTTTGTCCTCAGGGAGTGCACATTACTGAATGATAGCTCACCAAGGATCCACTTCTGCAGCTTGCATCAGGCCACAAAATAATTGTGTCACAAAACCAGAGGAAACTGTAAATGATAAAGACTGACTCAACACAGTCATCTCTAGATAAGCCATATCTTTGTAAATCACTTGCTCTGCAAGCCAGTTTTGGGTGTATCAGTAAGAGAAAAGCTTCTCACCAGCAACTAGCATTGTTTTACTCATTTTCAGATTAAACGAGGAAATACTTTTTGCTGCACCTTGTGTGAGTTATGGAAGAGGTCACAGGAAGGTGCTGCCCAGTTCATAACACTGAGCAGATTTTTCAGGGCACTGGAAAAAGCCTATTCTTTTTACATCAGGGCACTGCTCTGTCATGACCAATAGCTTCTGCAGGTACTTACCAGCAGGCTCAGGTCTTGCTGTTAGGGTGCCCACATGAATACAGTCCTCTTCTGTTGCGAAGATTCATAAGTACCTGGGTGCCTGCACAGAACAAGCTCTTCACTGCCACAGATCTCCTGGATGCTGGACAGCTTGCTTAGAGTTGGCCTGAAAGTCTCTGCCTAGTAGCTGACCACAATGTGGTCCTCACACACATTGAGGGACTTCCTTGCCCTTGTGAGGACCTCAGTTCAAGGGTGTATGAGCCGCCCTTGAAACTCCAGAGGATGGTCCCATGAAGGGAAATGGCAGTAAACATCATCACCTGCAGGAGACCCACAGAATCACCAGCTTTTGCAGATGTCTCCTGTTTCCTTCTCTCCACTGGGTTCATCCCAACTTGCTGTCAACACCTGGATGCCAGAAAAGTTACCATCTGCCATGCCCCAGCTCTGTGACTTGATGCCATTTGTGTAGACGTTCTTCCTCTCTTGGTGCACTGGGGTGACTAGAGAAGGCATGCTTTTCTATCCTGGGGCTAGTGATAATGAAGAGATAGAATTTCTGTTCTTCACTGCAAAAAAAGTGAATCACCTCTTAATTCCAGCTTCTGTCAGGCAAGCTTTTCTACAACTCAGATCCACTTCTGAGCGGGACTCACCCTCTTTTGGAGAACTTACTTTCAGTTTCACCCAGTGGGGTGGTTTGTTTGCATGAAGGCAAGTCATGATGAGGAAATATTCAGCTGAATAACATCACTGACATCCAAAGTTCAGCCTTGGGGAATAGAAACTGAAAATCAACATAAGATTAATAAAAGGACATCCATCACCCAAGAGGCGACGGGCAAATCCAGAAATATCCATGGCTGCTGTCATTGATGGAGGTAAGTACATGTATGTGAAAAGCAGGTCTATTTCTCCATATTCAGTGTAGGTATTTACTATAGTTGTACCTAAGGAACTGGTGAATACAGACAAATGTGTGCATTGCCACATGAAAATATGCAGGAGGCACTTGTGTATTTGTGTGTCTTACCTCTTTGAATGCATTACTGTATCTTGAGTCTGAGGTCCAGCCTCAAAATATAATGCTTTTGTTAACCTGATGTTGCGTTAGTCAGGGAGTGCATAGACTGAAATGGGCCAGGACAGGAGATGTGAATGAAATTTTGTTTTCTGACCTACTATCCCAAACGACTCACAAATCTTTTTTATATAGATCCTGCACCCAGACAGAACAACCAAAGGTAAGCGATACAGTTGTATCAGTGTGTGCTGCCTAGAATCCATGGCAATTTCCAGAGTCAGGCAAAGCAAAGAATCCTTGTGCCCTGTTTTCCTCTTATCATCCCTTTCCTTGATCTTCCTTTCCAGTTGTCTCACTGCTTTGACCAGTGCTGATCTCAGAGTGGTGATGGGGTTGCTTAACTTCCCAAGATCAATCATGGAAGTGCTATGGGTGTTTCACCAGGGCCACTTTAGAGGAAAAATTTTGGACCCTTCATTAAATTCCCAATTCCAGATTTAGATCATTAGATTGCAACATTCTTTCATCTGTCTTTTTGTGATGGGAAAGACTGAGAGTGGGAGCTTGGTCGATGTTGAGAGCAGGTAACAATGGGACCAAACACCACTAAAGTGTGGGGATGATTGTACTGTTGGTACCTTTGCCCCAGGTGGAAGATACAGCCAGAGGTTTTCAAAAGAAATTATTTGCCTAACCAACGTCCAAAGGTGGTGTACCTGCTGTATGAAATCAGGTGGAGCAGAGGTACCGTCTGGAGGAACTGGTGCTCAAACAGTTCCACCCATCATGCTGAAGTCAACTTCTTAGAAAACTGTTTCAAGGCCAATCCATCAGTTTCTTGCTCCATTACCTGGGTCCTATCTACTACACCCTGTGGGAAATGTTCCAGAAGAATTCTGGATTTCCTGAGTGGATATCCCAATGTGACCTTGGAAATATATGCAGCCAAGCTGTTCAAGCATCTGGATAACCGTAACCGGCAAGGTCTCTGGAACCTGGCAAAAAATAAAGTCATTATACATATCATGAATCTTGCAGGTAACACAATTACTCCTTGTTTATGGATTGAAAGTTTTGGAATTATATGCACTCTCAACAGTTGTGTTTTGCAGTAGTGATAGTGACTGGCATTGGGGAGGACTAATGAATGCAAAATGCCATTCTCTTGTGCCTTATTTCTTCTTCAGTACAAGGAGAGTTATGTCTTTCTCTAGCCTTCCATGCCTCCTTTACATACAGTGAAAAATCCTGAGTATAAGATAGAACCTGTCCTTCCCAGTACATATATGCAGATGCAACAAGTAATTGGTTTCCTTTGATAGCTGGAAAAGAGAAGGACACATATCTCAAGGAGACCTTCAGACAGTGCATCACAGAGGATGTGTCTTGCATGTGTGCCTTTTTATATGTATATCTTGCTTGCCTGTTGATGCTTGGCTGTAAAAATAGTCTGGACAAGTAGCTCAGAGAAAGGAATATACATTTGAAGAGATGAATCTCACATACCTGTCTGGTACAGGAGTGTGGATCTACAAAATCTACCAGGTCAAACTTAAACTTAAAGGACATAGCTTGTCTTGGGGAACCTGTCTCTGGGATTATACCACCAAAGCAGTGACAGAATCTCTGGCCATCCTATTAACAGTAAGATCAATATGAAACTTCTAAATGTTAGGGTGTTCACTCCAGGTTTTCTCTGACCATTGAGATGTCAGACAGATTCAAGATTAAAACAACAAGCTCATTTTCTTACCCAAAGCTGTTGTGATCAATCACAAGTCTGCCAAAAGGCATGCCTGAACAGCCCTGGTTGTATGTGTCACCTCCCTTTTCAGTCCTTCCCAGAGAAGCATCCTGCTACTTGCTGGTTGCTTCTCCCTTGGCCAGCATGCTCCGTCCTTATGCCTGACGTGCTATCTGTGTTAGGGGTTGCCCAAGACACCGTAGTGAGCTCTCCCTGGCAATTCCCCTTTTTAGACATATTGCTATTTGTAGAGTTTTGGTTCCCCTTTCCACTAACTTATTTGTGTCGTTGCAAGTCATCGTTGGTCCCTTGCATGAATGCCCTCAGATGAATATCTGTCTCCTGCCTTTTACCATTTTCCTGCTGAGAAAGCAGTGACTCACTGGCATATTCATGAAGAAGGAACTGGGTATGCCTTACATCAAGAGTGACCAGATCTTTCTCTTCTCAGATTACAATTACTACTGGAAAAGATTTGTTGCATACCAAGATGGCGAAGATGATTATTGGCCCTGGAGTTTCGCTCCATACATCTTTCTGAATTGGATAGAGCTCCGTCATATCCTTTTGGTTAGTAGGCACTTGAAGAAAACACAGAGAGTGAAAAGTAATGCAAAATCTTAGGAAAATGAGGTTTGAAGTATCCTGGCAATGGTGCTAACAGAAATTATGGTAGGAAAAATAAGCATGGGCTTGATGCTGCGTGAACAGAAAGCCCAGCTGCAAGAGATTACCAAAGACTATGATGCTACATTGTGCCTTTGTAGCCAGGAGTAGAGAAGAGATTTAGCAATACCCCCAGGGGTTTTTTTGGAAAGAAAAGAGAAATTATTTCAACCCTTTACATGGGTCAGCTACAAGGACATTAGCTTGCAGCTTACTGGAACTTTTTGATCCCAAAAGCTCCCTCAGCTATGTAAACATGATTTAAGTAGACTCTTCTTGCCTCTCAGGATAGGGCTACTACTTTTAGTTGATTTCTGAGCAAGTTCAAAAGCCCGGATGGGTGGATTCTCTTTCAGGATCAGAACTTGCACATAAGAGTATCATATGACTGAGATCTGCATTCCTTATTTCTTGCAACCCATACAACTGCAAAAGCTATTTTTATGACCTGATTACCTACTGTACAAGAAAGAGAAGGTGGTCTAGTGAACAGGGGAGAAAACCAGGACTGGAGTTAACTTCCTGGCTCAGCCACTGCTTGTCGGGCAAGCCAGTTCTTGCTTGAACTTGTCCTGTATGTAGAGCGGGGGCTAGCAGAATGGACAGCAGAAGACAGAGGAAGGGATGCATAGAACTACATAATATGGACAGGAACTTAAAGTCTAGAAAGAGAAAAACTAACCTATTTGTGAGATGCTATAAATGATTTATTTCTGAGTGGGAAAAAGGTACACATTAGACTTAATTTAGCTTCTATCTACCTCAAACTTTACATAGGTCTTTTAATACCTCAGGACCTGACCTTTCTAAGTATCTGAATAAGACATTCAGGTGACAGGGTACACACGGTCAGTAGCATTATCCATCAGCTGATCTAACAAAGTAGTTAATGCAATGGAACTGCTCAGGACATACTTTTTCCTTGGCTTTCAGCCTTCCTAAGTCTCCTAATGTCTGAGATGATTAAATAGTCTAGCAACTTATGCACAATCAAATGCACAGTGTGATGCTTACCAGGGAGCTGAACAGAGCTTACTGATAAATACTTGTGAGTACCAACAAACTACAGCCTACTCAGCACAATTGCCCGGGTACAAGGTGAATAAGCCCTTCACATTTTGGTTTTAAAGAGCCAGTTAACAAATGGCCTTTCCCTCCCTACGCCCCTGGCAGCCTTGTTGATTACTACTGAGTCCTGGTGGCTGGGAAGCTCGCACTGCGACACCCATGCTGAAAACTGGACACTTGCTCCGCTGCTTTGCAGTCTCAGCCAAACTCAAGCCACACCTAAACCGAAGCCCATTATCAGTAGTTCTGACTAACCACCAATCCTCTACAGAAGGGATGGGAAGGTCTATTTGCTTGTGAGCACTCAGCTCCATAGTCCTAATTACACAGAGGTGTAATGAGAGTTAGTTCCAGGCACATGCTTCAGAGAAATACAGACTGTTAAGTAAAATCCCTGGCAGAAGAAAGACTCAAAGGAACTGGAGAGGTCTGGTGAATGCAACTGCAATAATAAAGGCTGGAGCACTTGCCCTACAGGGAAAGGCTGAAGGAACCGGCTTCGTTAGACCTAACAAAAAGAAGGCAAAGTGGGATCTAGCTGCAGTTTTCCACTACATAAAGGCAGTGAAGACAGAACCAGACTCTCCTCAGTGCTGCACAGAGGGAAAATGAGGCAACAGGCACCGGCTGTGACAAGGGAAATTCCATCTGGGCAGCAGGAGAAGTCTCCCCTGACAGCAGTGCTGTACTGGAGCAGGTGCCCAGAGAGGCTCCATCCATCCCTGTCAGACCTCCATCCCTGGAGACACTGAGGATTTTCCTCTAAGCTTTGGAGTTAGCCATGCCACAAAGTTGTTGTTGGATTGGAGACCTCTTGAGGGCCTTTTTACCCCCCAAAACTCTGCCTTTCCACAGGATCTATCTCCACTTCCCCTGGATTCAGCTGTGCAATCTGCCACCTTTTAAATGTTCCTGTTTCTGAGTGGTCTGTCTTTCTAGGAGGGGTTTACACAGCAAAGTAATTCTGAGGTGCTACACTGTTGTCTAGAAAGCTATGTCCCAAGGGAGATTATCTAAGTTGTTGAGGGTGGATCGGAGTGATTTCTTGGACTAGATGTATTTTCAAACTCTGGATCATGCTGAAGAGACAAGCTTAAGCTTTTGGCATCTAGTTTTTAACGTTCATGTTCCTTTCTGTCTGCTAGGGACTTCCTCCGATGTTGTCAAACTAAATACTAACAAACACCAGCAGCATGCCTCCGACAGTATTTTCTGCTGCAGCCTTCAACTATGAGCCTCAAACTGCCACCAGAGAAAGCTCTCATCACTGGCTGGGCTTTGCCACTATTTGCCACAGCAGAAGGCGCACATGAGAAACCATCAGAAAGTTTGCATGAGGCTGCAGGACATGATATTCTGTTACAGAGAGTAACACTTTTCATGTTCTGATCTGAAGCAAAGAAGTAATCAATCAGAACAATGCATTCTGATTTTGAGAATTTCTTATTACTGTCGCTTCTATGGCTATGTGTGTAATGTTTCAGAAAATATATCATACTATTACAGTATTTAGGTAATATTATTGTTACATTACTGCTTTTATTAATGTATAATACATTAATATTATTAAGGATTATATTGCTTCATTTTAAGGTTTTATTTTCCCCATTTTAATGACTTTAGAAACAATAGAATAAAAGAGAAAAGGCCAGCTCTGTGGAAACTTTGCTTTTCCTTTTCAGTTCCTGGGCACACATCCTTCCCTTGCAATTCCACATTCTGAAGTCCTAGCTGTTTATTGAAAATTAGGGGAACGCAGTAAAAGCTCTGCTTTTCCAGCTGGAAACACTGAGTGGAATGGTGAGGTAGTAGATGTTGAAAGCTCTGAGTTATCTGTACAGACAGAAGGGGAAAAGGAGGTGGAGGTGTGTTTGGCCTTGCGGAAGTTTTCAGTTTGTGCTGCAAATAGTGCAAAACATCTGCATAAATCATGTTGGGAGCCCCACGTTTCATGCTTCCCAGCCCCTCCAAGCAGGAGGGCCATTGTGTGGTGAGCCCACTGGAGAATATGCTGCTGCTGGGATCTGCAGCATGCAGGCACAAATGATTATGTGAAGAATAAGGCAGGGGATGGTAGGAGCTATCTCTTGCAGTTGATTAACTCTTATAGCAACCTTTGGCCATGCCAAACTGTCCAGATGTTTAGTAGACTATCAGGACAGCCAGAAAAGCTGCCAGCTGAGGAAGCAGCTTCAGTCCCTGCTGTCTGAGAGAGTATCTAAAGCTGAGTGCAGCTGGCTGGGGGGTGCCTCCAATGTTAATAGAATTACTTCAAGCAATGGATAGCATGGCTAAAGTTTTCTCGCCTCCAACAGGCTGGATGTCACATGCCTTCTCTCTGTTCATTCTGGTGTTAACTCTTTATTTCCTTAGGGAGAAATCAAATCACTTCATCAACATGTAGTTGAGTACATCAGGGTCCAGAACCTTTCAGTAACAACTTGTAAGTTACTGCCGCATTGTGGAATGTAGCAACTCAGTCCTTCAAACACCTTCACTTGTGTCTTGCTTTGAAACTTCATGATGCTACAGAAGTTAGCTGTGTCCCATTGAAGAGTCTAGAAAGTACAACAGCACAAAGCTATACAACAGTGTCTACTGTCACAAAATGGAAACCCTAAATATTAGGAAAATCTGCAAGATGTGAAGACCCATCTGATGTCTCTTGCCAGAAATATCGAAGCAGCATAAAATGTTGCTCACGCCTTCGCAAAGCACAGAGAAGCCTTTACCCATCACAGTGTGGAAATTACTGCCACGTTGCTAGTTTGTGTGAAATAATCTAAAAATGCTGGTAGGTGTCACTATGCTCCTGCACCTTAGAATAAGCTCAGAGTTTTATCTTGGAGACGTCACAGTTCAGTGTACCTAGAACTCCAACTGTCTGGAGGAAAATGGGAGGTTGGATGACCCAGCTCTCTGGAGTAGGATGATGATGACATTGCCTGGAGATTAAAGAAGACATGAATTTGAATTAGGAGAAGGTGGGTTGATGGGAAAGAATTCATTTGAGAAGACCCAAAAAAGAGAACAGGAGACTTCAGTAAGTAACACTAGGTGAATGTCGTGGTTTAAGCCCTGTTTTAAAAATGGTAAGGGAAAAAACAAGGGGAGAGAATGTAAAACTAGAAAGGGAAAAGGAAAACAGTAAACACAAGTGATGCACAATACAATTGCTCACTGCCTGCTGACCTATACCCAGTCTGACCTGAGCAGTAATATGGGCCTTCCAGGTGACTCCCCCCAGTTTATACACTGGGCATGACATGCTGTGGTATGGAATACCCCTTTGACTAGTTTGGGTCAGGTGTCCTGTCTCTGCTTCCTCCTGACTTCTTGTATCCCTCCTTGCTGCAGAGCATGAGACTGAAAAGTCCTTGATCAGGGTAAGCATAACTTAGCATCAATCAGAAACATCAGTGTGTTATCAGCACTGTTCTCAGACCAAAGTCGAAAACACAGCACTGCACCAGCTACTAAGATGGAGAAAATTAACTGCTGCAGCTAACCCAGGACAGTGAAGGAGATTAGAAGGACCAGAAGCTAGGGGTGTGTCAACTTCATTGTTTTACGTGAGAAAGCACTAGTAATCCAGTAAGAAATATACCAGCCCAAACCTGATCTTGATCCTATAGCAGTAGTAAGGTGACCTGCTCCAAATTATCTGCTTTCTCCTGCAGCTTCATCTGAGAGTGAGCACAGACCCTGCTGTCAATCTTCCAGCTTTGCTCCTGCCAGTCCAAGGCCCATCTCAGTGAACTGTCAACCATGAAAGAGTTTTCCTGCAGTCAAGGTAGAGGACAGTGCTTTTACTGCAGAACAGAGGGGTTATTCGTGACACACCAAGAGGTAACCTATCCTTGCTTTAGACTCCAGCTAATACTCCTCTGTTTAGCTCCAAGCCAGAGAGCCTCGGATGAGGGTGGGGTGGTGGCCAAGGGAGAAGTCAGGGTATATAGCAGAACAAGAGAGGACACGAGGCTCCTCTGTTTCATTTAACATGGGTCTCTGCATCTCTAACCCAGTGCAGCTTCTCTCAGAAAGGTGGGTGCAGTAGGTGTGATTCTCTTCAGGTTGTGAGGAATGCCTTGGCGATTAATAACATTAGGTCAGCACTAGCAAGAGTATGAGATGGGTATGCAACCTGCTGAGTTTCGAACACACATCTTAGACACTGTTGGGCCTAATCCTGTTCCATCATCCTATCTCAAAGCAATATTGGCAAGTGCCCGCTGGCTCTTGAGAGAGCAGTGGGTACCTGCACAGGGATGTTCTGCCTTATCTCCCCTTTTCTCCCTATAGTTACGGTATTGATTCTCTGACTCTTACCCCCAAAACAAAAGTTTTCGTTTGCTATCCTGTGTAGTTATCTGTTTTTCTGTCCAGCTTTTTGCTTGTTTGCTTCTCCTTCTCAGAAGCGCTAATCAGTCTTGCTAGAAGTCCCAAAAGAGAAAGACAGCAACAGCGAGTTCCTGGAACTGAAATACTAGGGAAGAGAAGAACAAAGTGAGAAGACACAATACTGTCTTGCCTGACACACTTCCAGGCTCCAGTCCTCTTCAGCTCTTCCTAGGCCAAATGTAGTTTCTAAGTATTCAGTAGCCCTGCGTGAAGCATAAACAGCTACATTGCTGTTCTGGGAGAGGAAGTAAGCAGGATCTTGGAGACAGCTGAAAGCAGAGACACCATTCTGTGGAGGCTGTAACAACTCCAGCTGGAGTAATCAGGGTCCTGTGTCCCTGCCCTGGTACAAATGAATATGGGCCGGAGGGGTAAACTAGAAATGTGCTCATTTGCTCAGCAGCAGTCCTAGTCCATTAGGCAAGAACTTTGCAGCAGTGATGGTCCTGTAATGTGTAGTACTATCTCTAAGGGAGCAAGAGAACACCTGATAAAGCAGAAATGACGAACAAGGCAGAGCGAGAGATGATGCAACCCACTTTCTCTTTCCCCTTCAGATGCTCTCCTTATCATTGCTAGCGCTGTCAGAACAAATGGTCTCTTCTGTGCCAAACCCCTCCATGTTTCCCCCATGAACCGAATCTGAGTTCCATCGCTGCAAATACTTAATACGTATGTGATTAAACAGTTACATTTCTGCTCATAGGAACACCAAGGGGTCAGCACCCGGGTGAGGAGAAAAAACTATGTGAGCTAGAGGACAATGCTGGAATACCTCTAGGCTAAAAGGGCAAGTAGCAGGGGACTGGACTGCCATGACCTTGAAGCCCTTTTCTGTCCTGGTTTCCAAGTACCAGCACGTGAGAGAGGAACTGAGAGCAAACAGGGAGAGGAGACGTGCTTAGAAAATCCCCCTTGTATTTGCAAGGGCCTGGAGTGTGTCTTTGCATTTCTTAATGGTAATCTGTTTCTTATTACTGCAATGCGATGTCCAAGGACGCTGTGTACTGACCTGGAGTAATGCTGTGTGCAGCTGTGGGAATGATGTCAGTGTCTTGTTCTTCAGTGGGCATGTTCTGGGGGCTGTCGAGAGCCAGGCTCCGGGAGCCGTTTGCAGCAAGAAGCAGCATATCCTTCCAGCCAGCACCCTGGTAAAGGGTGCCAGCCACCCCCGTGCACCAGGAGGTGGCAGCCATGCCCAGTTTTCCACACTGAACCGATAACAATCCCATCCCGTTTATCCTCTTTTCCTCAGTTATCAAAGACCGGGTCCATACCTCACTCTGCTGCAGGGTTCAAGCTTTCACAGAATAGGTACTTTCTATATCCCAGCCCATGATAAACCACATCGGTTGTGATAAGACTGGATGCATCCTGAGGATCTCATTGACTAGAGGTCATGCAGGTGGCTGTATGCAGACACACAGGATGACGTTCAGTAAAGATGAAGGAGCTACGCCCAGCCCATGGGCAGGATGGCTTTCAGCAGCCCTCTGGGTCTTATAAAGGTGTGCTGATAGTATCAGTGTGTACACCTTGAGCATGCAAAATGCACCCAAAACATTACACACTCGGTCAAAGGGATAGGCCAGGCAAAAGCTCATGTTCGTGCCGGATTTGCTGGGAAGTCTTTTATATCCTGTTCTTGACTGTGGCTGTAATGCTTAGGGTATGAGTAACAAGAGAAAGAGGAGGCAGGAACACTCATGGGAAGCAAGGCTGGGGTGGCAGCAGTAACATTATTCGGATGTGCCTGTGTCTTGTTCATCGCTGCAAACTGTGGCATGTTGGACCAAGTAAGACTGTAGTTTTCAGCTGGCACCATAGACCCCTGTTCTGGTTGTTCCCCACAGTCTCAGGAAGAAACACTCTCCCCAAAATCACAAGTGCCCACTTTCCCCAGCTCAGGCAATGGGGCCTGAAGTGTTATTTGCTACAGTCAGCTTGAGGGATTAGTTCTTTCCCAGGTGCTTGTAAAGGACGGAGACACCTAGAATAGCACAATCACTGTCACCATAAGGGAGTATAAACATAAGTGGCATTCAAGAGTATATAAACATTAGAGAAATGGTCCCCATATACAGTTGACAAAGCAAGTAAAAAAATCTTAGGCTGAAAAAGCAGTGTTACTACATAACAGTCGTCCTCCAAGGAGCTGCTCTTGGCAGAGACACCTAAAGCATTTGAGGTTGGATTAATTAATAATGCCAATTCAAACACTGGTGACACATAACAGGAATTCATATTTGAGAACAGAAAAGAAACTATCACAGAAGAGCTGAATTCCTGCAGATAAATCAGAAGGATTTGCTAAGCAGTCCACTCTGAATTTAATCCATTTTGGATTCAGAAGAAGCAACCTGGGATGTATTCTGAATGCAGCTCATGTTTCTTTGCATTTTCTCATTGCATTTATTCTCCTGTTGTTTAATGTCACAACTGTCACGTTTCAACAAGTATCTTCAACTCAAGTGTTCATCAGCATTTAAGCAAAAGCCAGTGTCTCAACTTCACTTTTAGAAAATGCTGCTTTTACTGGTAGGTCTCCAACAGTGTCACTGAGAAGGACAATATTGCTTTTCAAGGGAATACAAAAACTTGGAAGACAGGGATCCTTTTCCTATCTCTGCTTCTCTTCTTGCTTTGCAAAGTATGTTGAGTAAGCATTGCTGTGTCCACACTGGTCCATTACGAGTCATGAATGGGGACAATAGGCTTGGAGTCAATGAAGGAAGCATCCTGAACAACTTTAGCATCTGCATGACAGGTTTTTGGTAGTATTTCCCAGGTACCTATTGCCTAAATACTTCATTTGCCTTGAGCTGCTGCGTGACACTGTCAACAAGTTCAGAGTTGCAACTCAAAAGGATAAAGACAGTTTAATAGGGTATTGTCAGATTTTCTCTCCAGAAATCAGAAAGGATAGATGACTCCTTAATCCTTTGTGTCATCTTTTACTTCTGTCACCCACATAGTATCAGAACAACAAAATCAGATGCTCATTTGCAAGACCTTTATTTATATAAATAATATCCACCATATCAAAAAATATACAACGCCATGCTTGCAAATTAATGCTTTGCAAAGAACTCTTGTTGCTATTCCTGGCTGAAATTCCTCAAGCTGACAGTGGGTCAGGAGCCTCAAGGTGTAGGAAGCTTGTGATGAACCCAGTTGTGACATCTCCTAGCAGGAGTAGGCAGAGCAGAGCTCTCTGCTGTCCTCATGGCCTACCACCAGAGGAGGTCTTTTGAGGCGCAAAACAAGAGCCTCCAGCCGTAGCCAGAAAGAGGAACAGGATGGAGGAATGAACTCAGCACCATTATGAAGGAAATGACAGAGCAGAGCACCCCCAGAATGTGGGACACAGCCTTGGCAAAGCCTCACAAGGTTAGGACAAGCTCCTGCAGAGGACAATCTGCCTGTAGTTAGGTAGTGGAAAGCTGCTGGTGAGTAAACAACTCGTGCCTTCAACCTGGTAGACCGTGTGCACACGGTCAGGTGCTAATGGGGTCTCCTAGTGGAAACACGGTGATTGACAGCCAGAAGGATGCCTTGATTTTGCTCCCTGCAGAAGATAGTTATCTTCAGGTGGTACAGCTTTGCTAATGCTGAATGTTTTTTTTCTGGTCAGCTCTCAGTCCAGTCACCAACTAGCCATATCTGGCCATATTATGGGCACTAAAAGGCCTGAAAGAAGAGAAGACTATGGGACTATTAAGGTGCCTGCAGCAGAGGACAGTTGGCTAAGGAGGGAACATATTGCAGGTTTGATCTAGGAGGAAAAGCTCAGTGCATGAGTAGTGGTGTTCCTCCCTGAGGTATGCGGAGAAACAGATGGTGACTGATGTGGATGCCAACACAGCATCTAAAAATGCCAGAGCCTCAACCTACATGAGAAATTAAGTCTGAGGGTAAGACAATATGGAAATAAAGTGTGTTTTCCAGTAGAGGTATGCTGGAAAAACATTACAGAGTTGAAGTGACTTGATGGCTCCTTTCCTGCTGGGTGGGAGGTCTACACACTGATCAGTACTGACCCCAGGCTGCCATGGCTCTTAACATAGTTAACAGGAGTTGAGTGGACTTGCTATTTTTGCGTGGAAAATGTCTTGTTGGACGCCCAGAATTGCAGCTAGTACTTGGCAATGTTGGACGGTCTACTTCCATTTTAGGCTTTTATTGTCTAGTTTCAGCCTCTCCTGTATTGACAAAAGATCATGTTTGAGGGCACAAAGCCTGGACCTACAGATACTGAAGCTCCCTCCTTTCTGGGCAGGAGGAACTACAAGGTCTGGGCCACCACGCAATGCACTTAGAAGACTTGCTGCCTTCAAGTGAGGTTTTCAAGCTAAGATACCTGGGCTGTCCAGGACTCAGTTCAATACTCTCAGCCGAGCTTTCCAATAACTGGCCAGTTTATCTATACTACTTAAGTGATGATGGTTTTCGACTTCCTACCACGTCTAGAAGGACAAATAAACAATTTCACAGCGCAGGACGCAGAGCAGCTCAGTGAAGTGCAGCTCTAAGAGCCAAGAGATGTGCTCCCTGAAGCCCTCATGGAACGTGCAGATCAGTGCGATGCCAGTGAGAACACAATCACTCAAACAGCTCTTTAGACTGTCTCCCCCAACCTGGGCAAGGCTAAACCCAGGCTCCATTTAGTGGACCACCTGAATTAGCTCAGCAGGGACTGAGGGGGGTCAAAGTGCTCTCTGGCAATGTCACTGCAGTCCTGGCTATTCCCAGGTAGCAATGGGTGAGGCATGAGCCTGGGGAATGTGTCTGAAGAAAATCAGCCTAATTCTCCTTGGAAATGAAAAAGTAAGGGTACACTTATCTCTAGAAACAGGGCTGGAAGGAGGAGAGATGTAGAGAGGAAAGAAGAGAAAGGTCTCTTGTAAGGGAGAGAGTTGGAAATCAAAGAACAAGTGTTTGTGAAGTCTTCTGGTTGCTGATGACTTCCACTTCAAAGTCCCAGAGTTTTAAAAGCATCTCGTAAATCATCTACTTCGTACAGTGGCTGCAGGACAAAATATAAACGATAGGTCAGTCGTCAAGTGAGCAGGGAGTTAATGCAGATAGGGAAGGAGGATGGAGATAGGGAAGGAGGAATGAATGGCAGGAGATAGGGTATGAAGTGGAAGAAGGGGAAGAGAATGTAGAGATATTGAGAAAGGTGGATGAGGGATGTGGAAAGTGAAGACATAAGGAAGAATGGAATAGCATATGACAGATATGGGCAGGTAAAGCAGAGAGGAACTATCGTGAGGAAAACAGGAAGGGAAGAAGTACCAGAAGGAGAATTTGCTCTCACCAGGAGGATCCGTCGAAGTTTCCTGGACAGATGGACAGAGTTTTCATGCAGTCCTTCCCAGGCTTTGAAGGTCTTTTCCCTGTTCTCCACAAACGTGTTCCAGCAGTAGAAGTAATCTGTGCAAGGCACAGGGATTTACTCAAGGAGTCCCCAAAAGACTGCCCCAGGGAGGACACTGACCTCTCCTAGGATCACTGAATCATCACGTCTGTGTTCCCTGCCTCCTTGTCCTAGCTTCTCCCACTCTCCTGTGTCTCACTAACACACCACACACCCCCACCCCCCCAGCTTTCTGTTATCTCTTTCTCTCCCGCACATCTCACCTTTAAAGGTCATGATGGCAATTTGGGCCCCTGCCTTGTGCAGGCGCCTCAGCCCCTCAGGCTCTGCCTTGCGGTCCTCACAGAAGTAGAGGCGTGCAGTGAAGATGCGGAGGGTCAGGTTGGGGTAGGCGCGCAGGAAGTTGGCCACGTGCCGGGCGCAGTCGTAACAGGGGCTCCAGGAGGTGAACCAGGTGATACGGTAGCAGCGGCCCGGGTCCAGGTCCCAGGCTGAGATGTAGCGCAGGAAGAGCACCTCCACATGACAGCCCATCTTTGTGAAACAGGGAGAGGGGCAAGGCGTGAGGTGGGGGGGAGAAGGACAAAAGAGGGGTCAGGAGGGAGGTGTGAGCTGTATGAGACGTGAGGGGAGGGCTAAAGGTGGAGGCAAGTTCCTAGGGTCAGCACACAGGGGGAGAAGGCACAGTGGTACATAAGAAGAAGACTGGCTAGGAAAACACAGGAACACACTGATATGTAGGGACCTACAAGAGGAATGTGTGGGAGCTAAGCAGAGATGTATGTAGACTGGTAAAGCAGCAGGGAGTATGGTTGTCTTGCTGGTAACACACTTGAGGTAGCATAAAGTACAGGTTTACCAAACAGCATATAGCAGTCCAGTCATGGACACGTGCCAGTACCTGCATTGCTGTCGCAGCCCTCCTGCCCCTGCAGCCCCAGGCAAACTGGAGCTGCATGCTCCTTAGCATGGGTGTAAGAACAGGATGCCAAGGTGCTCCCTGTACCTGATTGCGCAGGTATCCAAAGTCCAGGGAGCATGACGTAGCGCTGTCACGGCGCTTTACAACATAGCAGAGGTAGGTTTCACGACGGCCCTTGGCCCAGCGCAGGTTCTTGAAGTTGTAGAGGAAGAGTTTCCTCTTCATCAGGAGGCTGCAGGAGAAGAGAGAATTTACATTACCGCACTCTGGAGCAAGCAGTTGGCTATGTCTTTGTTGAGAGCTCAGCACTAAAAATATCCTCCTCTTGTCCCGGCCTCTTAGTATGAGAAGAGTATCAGTAATTTGCATGAAGTGTGTTATGGAAAGGATGCAGACGTGACTGTGGGGATGAAGCAGTTGACCTTATGAGGGGAAACAGTAAGTGAATGAGTAGTGATTACTCAAACAGCAACTATGGCTGGGTAGAGTACAAAAATATTTGCAAATATCCAAAAGATGGATGCCAATGAGGGAAAAGGACAAATGCCTGAGAAGAGCTGAGAAGATGAGAGGGTCTGGCATTCAGTCATCAAGAAACACTAGTTTTGCTGTATAAAACCCTGAAAGGCCACTGGAGCAAGGGATGGATCAAATTAGAGCCTCATCTTTAGAGAAGACTGGACAGAATTTCTTCCCAGCATTGCCTGGAAGAAGAGCGTGGTTGAAAGTGTGCAGGGCTAGGGGCTCAGCTAAGGTGCCATATACTAGCTGACAATACATGATGGGTTAGGGATGCTGACACCTTTCCAGACTCAAGTACCATTCCCACATTAAACAAACATCAAATTTGGTGGGAGCCTGCTCAGATGCCCATGGGTCCTGCTGGGGAGAGGCAGCAGGAGCACTGGGAGGATAAGGTATCTAACAGTCTCAATGGCAAGTGGAGGTACAGAGGCAGCTGAGAACAGCTGTGTTCATTGAGGTGAGATATTTACCCCCCCCCCCCAGCAATGCAAAGCAGAAGTGTATGGATTAAAAATAAGCATGTCCTTTGTCATCTTTTCCCTCTGATAGGCTGGTGTTCAGCAGGGAGATGAGGTCAGTTTAAGTGAGACTGAGCTGGGGTTTCTAAGGGGTCTGCAGTGAGGTGTAGGGGAAGTGTAGTTTGGATCTGTTAGGAATTTAAATCCAATTTAAATCTGAGGGTCTAAGCAAGGAAAAGTTTCCTACACAAACACCTTCACCTGTTTGCCAATGTCACCATGAAGCCTGAGCGCTGCAGAGCACTTTATCTTCAGCTCATCGGCATCCTCTTTGCTCCTCCCAGAGCACCCTCACACATAGCCAATGCACCACAGGTTTCATTCATACAATCACACACATCCTCTTGCCTTTTGCTACCTAGTACACGTGCTTCGATCTCTTCTAGCACTCCCTATCACACCTCACATCAAACCGCCAGAAGCACATCGTTCCCTCAAGCACCCCTGCTACTCTGATCGTCCCACAGATAGACACACATCCTCCTTCCTGCCATGTCACCCTCAGCAAAGATGCCTGTCTTGCTCAAGTGAGCAAGCACACAGGTACCGGCTTGTGCCACTCTTTATACAGACATGGTTCTAGAGAAGTAGATCACTTGGGAGTTGTGGCATGTTTCCTGCTAGGAGAAAGTCCATTGAGAAGACAAGGCTATGGAGAGTCCTGCACACACTCAGAGAGCAAAGCATCCTTACTAAGCATTTTATTCAGCCCAACAACAGGCGGAGGCAGTTGTTGGAGATCTGTCCTGTAAGCCGCAGTCCTGCTCTGCTCGGCTTGCAGATTGGCTCAGGAGTTCATGCTGGGTGCGTGTCTTTCATACTCGCTCTATGTTCTTCGACATCAGTTTTGAGTTATTTCTCGCACTTAGAGCTGCCTCACTTCTAGGGTGGTAGCACCCTAGATTCATCCTATTTCTCTGCCTTTGTACAAACACGTGAGCATGTGTCTATATTCCCTAACACATACACACACACGTTTGTCCCCTCACAAAGCTGTCAACCAGTGGTTCACCTCAGGCTTTTTCCTCTTAGATATGTGTTACTGCAGGGCTGTGGAGAAGGCTGGCCCCTGTAACAGAGGCACTGGAGAGGGAACACCCCTTCTGTGTGTGACAGATCCTCTGGTTGTTCAGAGAGGATAATCCAGACAATCGTGCAGGGAATGAGCAGGTACAACAGGACAAAGGCTTGCAGAGCTCTTACCTGGTGTGTTTCACAACAGCAGAAAACAGAGCAGAGGAACTGTGAAAAATGTGATTGCTTACTGAGGAACCTTATAAAGCCAGGTGAAAAATTATGACAATTATGCTGATGGTTAGGGATGATTTTATGCTGATCAAATCCCACATGGAAAAATGCTTTTCAACACATTGAAAAAAAAAAAAAAAAAGGAAGAAAAAGGGAAAACAGGCTTTCCTTTTTCTTTCATTTTCCTTTCAATATGTTTCTGATTCTTCTTCTAATTGTGCCTTTTTGCACTTCTTCCCATTTTTCTCTGTTCAAGGGTTTGCCCCTGTGGAGCATCATGTAGGTGCAAATCAGGGTGAAGAACAAAAAGTTACCCCGGAAAAATAAGATGGTGATCACTTGGCTTATTTTTCAGTGTCAGAACAAAATGAAGACAGTTTGAATCACATAATCCATTTGCTCGACTAGAACTGTTCATTAACATCAGTTCCTGTTTTCCCTTCTCTCTGGAGTTCCCTGTCCCAAGGTTTTTTGCTAGGGAGGATTTCAGAATGTGGCTGGTGCAAGAAGAAGAATAATGAATGAACAGATGTTGCAGGGAGCAACTGGGCAGATGTGCAGCTAGGTTCAAACTGCTGGATACAGGTGCAACTCCTGTATCTGTAGCATAGCTCAAAGGAAAGCAGCAAGGACACAGGAGCTGTGATTATACCTGGGCACTGAAGTAGACTGAACAGAGACCTTCTCCTCAAATAAAAACTTGTGAAGCCAATGCTCAAATGAGAGTGAAAGCCACTGACTGGGTGAATGATATGCAGTTGTGGAGAATGGTCAGTGGTAATTAGCTTGCAGAATAATCGCAGTGCAGATAGGTGAATCCAGTGCTGGAACAGTCTGTGCTTACAAGGTTATGAGCAGCAGAAACAGGGTAAGAGAAATCTGGTTCAAGAGCAAGAATAGATGGACAAGGAGAGAAGAGTGGGCAGGTACTGAGGTGTTTAAGCAGCAGGTAGCATCTGAATGTTAATCTTTCCATTGGGTTTGGTTGTTTTTTTTTGTTTCTAGAAAAGAAAAACAATGAAAAGGAACAGAGAATAGTCACGAGAAAGAGAAATGACAGAAAGGGAAAAGGGTACGGAGAGGCAGACAGTCAAAGAGAAAGAACGACAGAGGCACAGAGATGCAAGGTGCAAGAGCAGGACAGGGTGGGGAGTTAGATCATCGAGTCAGATAGGGAAAGGCATGGTGAGCACCAAATGGAGAGCAGGTTAATTTGAAGAGAAAGACCCTCATTTCTTATATGAGCAAGAAACTGGAAGCACTCATTTTACCTGTCCATGACTGCCAGGCTCTGTCTTAGGCGATAGGACTGCAGGGAGGCTGTCTTGCAGGCTCTGACTGTGCAGCCCGCTGGTTTGGTGTACAGAAATGTGGACTACCACGTGTGTCCCCTCCCCATTCTCCTATCTAGCCCCTGCTGGGCTTGATCAGGGAGTGGTTGAGGGAGGAGTTAGTGCAGTTCTGGAGCTGCAGAAGATGAAGAGCAAAGGGTTGAGATGCAAAGGGGCATCAGTTCTGAAAGATGCTCAGCACCCATTGGTCACCTCCCCCTGCTGCACTCCCTATTGGGCCCTCCTCACCTGCAAAATCATTCTGAATTAATATCAATAACATAACGAGGCAGGAAGTATTGTCTAGTGGTTAAAAGGGGACCTGGGAGCTTGTGTACCACTAACGTGAATGTGGGCAAAACCACACTATCCCTCTGGGCCCCAAGTCATGCAGCTGTGCAGTGAAGACGGTGACCATGCCCTGCCCCGCTGTGGAGGGAGCTCAGCTGGAAGGACCTCAGGGAACACTAAATAGAAGGAGGCTTCCCACCCTCCTATGTGTCCTCCTTAAAGGCCCTGGCAGCTGCTTGCCAGGATGGGGCAACACTGAAGCTGAAGAGGACAGTGAGGGGAACTGAGTGTCTGACCCCTCTTTGGCACCTGAACATGGCCATGGGCACCTGAGCCGTGTCAGCACACTGAGAAGACCTCCTCTGCAAAGCTGTGTGCAAAGGATTGGTGGGGAACGACCCAGAACCTGATCCTGCTGCTCCATGGTGGCTGGCAGGAGCAGGATCCCCGTCACCTGCTGCACGCCGTCATGCCCAGGCTCGTACTCAGGATGCACATGCTTCCCTCCACCAACACTGCTCTCTGCCACCCCAGCTCTGCTCCACCACGGCCCCACAGTGCCTGCCTGCGCACCCAAACCCCCTGCAGGGCTGAAGGACAGCCAAGGGATAAGGCAGCAGCTTTGGCCAGGCAGGGTGCTGAAGAGGCAGCCCAGGGATATTCTGCTTTGTTTCTGCCCCAAGCAGGGCTCAGTCAGTGCTATGGCTGAGGAACAGGGCTTTTGTTTACCTCATGCTAGGGTAGTTCTTCATTTCTTCTCTGCCTGATTTACTTATTAATTTTACTGGCTTTCAGCATGCTAGGACGGCGTGAAACCAGTGTATGCAAAAACGTGAAAAGGAGAGATGAGCTGCAGGGAACATAGCAGGCAAGCATCTAGCTCAGCACTTTTGAGTCTTTGAGAGTGGCTGGCATGGCACACGTTAGGGAAAGGAGAAGTGCTTCTGCATGGTCCAGGGCTGGGGTATCCTACTCTCTGGGGAAGTGGCCAGGCAAGGTACATGCTCAAAGCATCCACATTTTGCATTGGTCTCTAGTTGTGACAATTGTCTTCTTTGAGGATCTGGCTCCTTGTGTTTGACCCAAGCTAGAAGAGCCTGCAACCCTTGTATATCCTTGTCCTACTTAATGAAGTCAAAGAGGATGCTTCTGCTAATGAAGCAGTGTCCCCTTTCAGCCTTTGCCCTAGCAGCACCTTGTGACAAATATCCTAAGTCAGACCAAGAGTCATTTTGTCTGTCTTATGTACTAGGTTTTTCTTTTGATAATGCAAGGAGGATTTCACTACACATGACATTAAAAAAAAAAAAAAAAAAGGAGAAAAAAGAAAATAACCCCCCAGCACACCCCAGGAAATGTGCTTCTTAGAGATCACAAACATTTGCATTTCATCAGGTAAATGAAGCTAGCTTCAGCTTTACTCTTGTTCTGGCTCCTGATTTCCATAGCCGAAAGCTTGCAGGACATTCTACAGAACGTTTTCTGCTCCTAAAGGAACCAAGAAACACCTTCATGGCCAGCCTGGTCCTCCCCTTAAATCAGATTTGTGCATAATGTTTTTCTCAAAGGTTTAACATGTCAGGTCTCACAAAGCATTTAACTAGTTCCTTCCTCTGGTCCTGCCTGTAGTGTAATTCATTCTTCCACATTTAAAACATCAGATGTTCTCCTTGATTGTTGAGAGCCTCTTTGCTCTCCACAGAGATAAAAGAGAATGAGCATGTGATGCAATGAACAGATGAACTATGTCACACTTTGTCAGGGCTCTCAAGTCTGAATACTGATGTAGGCTTTCTAATGCCCTTTGTTTAGACTGGTAGCTCCCCCCGCACTGGAGATGTGAGGGCACAAAGTCAGTGGCAGCAATTCTCTGCCTCTGTCTCTAACCCCCAGTGCAGAAATGTTTTGGCATGGATGTATTTTTAGTGTCTCATAGCCAGTCTAGGGTGACGTGTCGAGGGGGACCCTCAGCTCCCATGCAGTTCTGCTAAAGCAGGAGCTGCAGTCTCTTGCAAGGGCAAGATCTTGATCATTGGCAGATGTCATCTCTGCTCTGGCTATAGAAAAGGGAATTTGGAAAACCGTGGAAAAGTTGCTGATCCCTGGGTTAGCTGCTAGTCCAAGCCTCCTCATGCTGTAATTTTCCAAACCTTTAACATATGGTGGGACCATTTCGGCTGGCAGCTAATACATGAGAAGAAATGTTGACTGCTCCGTTTTTCCTTCCTTTCTGCTCAATGCAAACTTGTGTGGAGGGGGAACTGGGGCTGGGAGAGAAAAATAATTACACTGAAGTTGTCTTCATCTCTGTTTCTGATCAAAGCCTAGGTCAGTTAAAGGCTAGTGGCAAAGGCTATGAAGGGTGCCTGTGCTGGTGTGTTTGGAGTGTTACCTAGTGAGAGATGCTGCTCCAGGTTATTGGGATCACAGAAGGATGCTCTAGCATCTCTCCAGGTTCCTTGTGCTCAGGGGTCTATTCCCTGTCTTAAAGTCAGAACAACAGAGAAAGGACAACAGGCTGAAAAGCAGTGGTAGAGGGGGAGAAGGAATATCACAATTACTGTTACTAAAGATTCAGAAAGCAAACTCAGAGAGCACAAATGCGGTGAATGATTAAACTTAATCACCTAGTCCCAAAGCAGAGGAGAAGTCGCTTGTTTAGTCAACAGGAAGCCGTGTGTTGGTGTATGCCGATATAAATACATATTTATTTTTTCCATTCACCCTTTGCTCAGACATCACATTTTGAAACAAGCGCGGGCACCACCAGTTGGTGGGTTCTTAAGCTGAACACAAGAAACGCACACACCTGCTTCTCCTCGCCTCAAGCAAAAGCCTCAAGCAGAAAAACTTTCTCTGCTGAGCAAGTGCTGATGCACCAGTGACACTGTCTTGCACAGGGACCTCGAGCAGGGGAGTGGTACAGCTCCTTGCAGCTAGACACAGGCAAATAAATAAGATGATGCAATTATTTATTATAAGAACATGTAATATAATATGCTTATTTCATATAAACATATATTAAACATAAGGATACCGGAGAGGGACTCTTCATCAACGACTGCAGCGATAGGACAAGGGGTAATGGGTTCAAACTTAAACAGGAGAAGTTCAAGTTAGGTATAAGAAAGAAGTTCTTTACTGTGAGGGTGGTGAGGCACTGGTGCAGGTTGCCCAGGGAAGTGGTAAATGCTCCATCCCTGGCAGTGTTCAAAGACAGGTTGGAGAAAGCCTTAGGTGACATGGTCTGGATTGAGATGTCCCTGCCCATGGCAGGGGGCTGGAACTGGATGATGTTAAGGCCCTTTCCAACCCAAACCATTCTGTGATTCTATTGTTAAAGTGTTTATTTATTATACACACATTACATTATGTTCTATGTTCATTCCACAAAGATTCGTCACCCTATTTTGAGCAAGTGGCAACACATAGGTTATGTGCTTGCTCAGGCACCTCTGACAGGCAGATCATGACCGTTACTCCAGTCCTGTGTGTAAAAAAACCATCTGCAATAGATGTAGAGGCAGCTTGCTGTCTAGGACATGGGGCAAAGGGCCTTGTCCCTAGAGCTGCCAACTCATCTTGTGACACAGCTGTGTATGCCATGACTGAGGAGAAGGTTTCAGCAGCTGCATGACAAATCATTGCCTTTCGTGGTGTGGAATATGCAGCACCACAGAGATACACGAAAGCTGTGAGGGTGTATATGGGGTCTGCTGGAGGTGGACATCAGCAGGGGGTGCGTGTGGTGGAGGGGTTGCAAATGCAAATCTGAAGCACTATGGGGTGAGTACCACTGAGGCTGCATTGAAGTTAGATGAGAGCAGGCATCCTAGGTCATGAGAGGGAAGTGGGAAGGAGAGAAGGCAGGAGTTCAGGATGTGGGGGGATGCTGCTGGAAGAGTGGGTTTATGAAACATGGGCCCCTGCACTGTGCACTGCTTCAGGCTGCAGGATTGTAGATAATGCTGCTCATGCAGAATTGAGTTGCTGGGCATGCACTAAGATTGTATGTTATTATGTGTTTTACTAGTAATTTGGCTTTCCAGGCTTGCACTGCAAAACCTTTACCTGAAGATTTGACTCGTGGTTTATTTTTGCTCCAAAGTTGAGCTTGTTTTGGTCCCGGGGGATAAGGCAAATTAGGGTGAAACTATTGAATTGACTACACACTTTTCAACCACAGTCCTGTGAGTGCCCCTCATTCCTGCCCTGCAGCTCTCTGCTAGCTTAGCCTGGGGCTCCTTGTAGGAACTAATGATTCTTAACCCTATATCTGTGACCCCCCAGTTTTTTCTCTCCTGGAGTGTATTAATTCTTCCCACCACATCTGTAGGCAGCAGCAGTCCCATCCCTTGATGCCACTGACTGACACCTGCTTGGATCACCATCAGGAAGGGAGGAAAGGAGTTATGTTGGGTTGAGGAGTTTGAGACCCAGTGAATGGCTTCCCTGTCACAAAGGCAGGTACAAAATGTGACCAAAGTCCAACTACTTGCACTACATGTCCTCAAGCGCTTTGTCTAGCTCAAGGCTGTGACATGGTTTGCAGCTTATCTCATAAACACAGATCAAAGTGGAATGTGCCTTCCCCATGCTGAGAGCTGCAGGTGGGGCAGCACCCATCAGAGCTGCTTGCACCTTGCTGCTTCCCAGAGCAGTGCATGCAGCCCAAGCACCAGGCTTGGGTTCTGACTCCATGCTGCACAGACCAGGACAACACCCCCTTTCTGCACAGGGAGCTGCAGGCTGTGTTCTGGTGTTACTCCATTGTCATACAGCTCAGGCCCCTGGTCTGCGTACTGCAGATACTGCTCCCAGCCACATCTTC